GCGCGGGAACCCCTCCTGGGGGACAATAGCCGACTGCACGTCAATTCCCCCGTCTGTGGCCGCAGGTGGCAACGTGGTTTCGGGCAAACAGGCTTTCTTGAGGCTCGTGGGGCTCCAAAGGAAAGGAGAACATTTCCTACAAACCCATTTAAGCCCCCCGGAAACAGTTTCTTCGACGTGAGTACGGGCTCTCTTCTTCCCCCGCCCCCTGCCGGCAGCCCGGCCTGGGCGCGCCTTGATGCGCGCGCCCTTCCCCCCGTTTTCCCCTCTCCCCCGCAAGCTTGTCCAATCCGCTGCGGCCCAGGACCGCCTTTTCAAAGGGTCTACCGGGCCACGCCCCCAAGGCACCTCTTTTTGGGGACTTTCGTTCCCATTCGGGACTCTCGGCCCTGCAAAGAAAACCGTGGACACGGTTTGGAAAATCGGAGGGTGATGTTCACTTTGTCCTATGTTTCCCAGATCTGATCCTGCGGGCCCAGGGCTTAACTTTGGGAAACAAGAAGGATTCCCTAGGAGTCCCGTCTAAGCCCCTAATAAAAATGCCCAGAAGTTTGGTCATCACGAGTGGTGCGGTGTCATCCACTCTCCTCTCCCTGCTTCTTCCCTCGGTTCATCTCAACCTGCTTCCCTTTCATCCCTCCAGTCCGGTCTGGTCTTCCACCTGCCCTCATAAGCACGAAGTGCGTGAGTTGATACCCCGATGCACGTGACTGAGGGCTCATCCACTCCTCACCACGCCCCACGCACGCGTGGCGAACTATTGTGATCGCCCTTCTGTGACACGATAGGAATAGGCAAAGAAAACATAAAAGCAACTGGCCGAGGTCACACAGCTTGTAAATGTCAGAACCAGCGACTGAAATTGCAGTCGGGTCTAGCTCCCAAGGAGGCACACACAACTGCCGGCTATATGGCCGGGCTTCCCATCCTTCATGCCCTCCCCTCTTTCCACTCACCATGTCAAACATCCATCAACCGTCCAGTACATCTTAGCAACAAGCTTTTTCCATCCAGCCAGCCATCAGTCAAACAAACATCGACACGACCCGCTCAACTGATCTGTTCAGCCATCCCTTCATCCAACCCTGCTATCTCTCTACCCATCCACTTCATCTTCTCTACCGCATCCACCTCATCAGTCAATCCCTCCAAAGACGTCCTATTCACCAGATGTTTATCCACTCCATCGAAACAGACAATTCAGTCCACTCACCAGTCCATCTTGCTTCATCCGCCAGCTATTTGTCTGTCCCCTTCATCATTCAACCTTATCCGTCCACTGTCCATCCAAACCAGCCCACATTCTCCTCCATCCATCGAAAACATCTAAGCCACTCTGTCTAGCCAGTGCATCCTCTCATCGGGTTCAAGCCACCTCCTACACCACAACTTCAGCCATCCATTCATTTCTTGTTTTTTTTTTTTCTTTCTTTTTTTTTTGAGACAGAGTCTCAACTCTGTTGCCGAGGCGTAGATGAGCTGCCGTGCGCAGCCTAGCTCACAGCAAACCCTCCAACTCCTGGGGCTCAAGCAATCCTGCCTCAGCCTCCCGAGTAGCTGGGACTACAGGCATGCACCACCATGCCTGGCTAATTTTTTCTATATATATATTAGTTGGCCAATTAATTTATTTCTATTTATGGTAGAGACAGGGTCTTGCTCTTGTTCAAGCTGGTCTCGAACTCCTGACCTTGAGCAATCCGCCCGCCTCGGCCTTCCAGAGTGCTAGGATGACAGGCGTGAGCCATCGTGCCCGGCCTGGAAATCTGAATTTTTAATGAACCATTGGAGCCTAAGTGGACAGAAACATCACCTTCAAATAAATACTTTACTGTGCAGTTTCTACAAACTGCAGTCTCCCATGTATGCACTGTCATACAATGGTGAAAATCAGGATATTAACATGGATTTGTCAGCCAAAAAACCCCCGCCAAATTCAAAAATAATTTAAAGAGGTTTATTCTGATCTGAATATGTGTGACCATGGCCCAGTGAGCATAGTGTTCAAAGGTCCTGAGAAAATGCGCCCCAGGCAGCTGGTTTGCAGGTTGGCTTTATAGATTCATGGAGACAGGAATTGCAGGTAAAATCAAATCAGTACATGTGTATGTTGGAAGGTGTATGTTGGTTTGGCCCGAAAACTCAGGACATCTCAAATGGGGCTTACAGGTTAGAGGTGGGTTCAAGGATTCTTTGATTTGTAACTGGTTAAAGAAATAAGGCTTTGTCTAAATGCATGGAATGTTTTAAGACAAGAAAGTCTATTAGAGCTACAATGTACACACTCAAGTGATCTCTTAAACAAACTGATGTTTCACAGGTGTGATTAAAACTTTGCCTTGCGTGGCCTTAGGTCCTGTTAATAATTTAGTATCTTGTTGTCACAAAGAGTTTGTTTTGTTAGTGTTATAATCTCTTTTAAAATTAATGTTGGTCAATTGTATCTACACTACAAAGGGAGGGGCTACAAGGAGGATTGTCTCTTCCCTTCATGGCCCAGAACTCAGTTTTAAGGTTTTCCTCGGGTCCCCAGGAATTGGGGGGATTTAGGATTTTATTTTAGTTTCCAGATGGATCATTAGCCTCTAATAAAAAAAACAAAAAAAACACGACCAATTTCATCGCTTAGGCCAGTAATGTCTCACTTTCCACTGCGTGTATTTCGAAGGCTGTGGAGAACCGACGTTCTCCCTTTCTTTTTGTTTGAGACAAAGTCTCACTGTCACCCAGAGGGGACTGCAGTGGCAGCAGCATAGCTCACCACGGCCTTGAACTCCAGGGCCCAAGCAATCTTCCCCCCTCAGGCTCCCAAAGTGCTAGGACTGCAGGCGAGAGCCACTGCACCTGGCCTTCATACATTGTCTGCACAAAAATATTTTAAAATATTTATAAGAATTTGACACAGCCCCCCAAAATGAAAATTAACTCATTCAACAAGCAGCCCTAGAAGACTTGGGGACACAGACTGTGTCAGGTCTCCGACTGTGGGAGGGGATCCCTCATGCCGCCCCCACCATTGAGGGTCCAGGCACGGTCCAGCTGGCGGGTGCCGGGGCAGTGACCATCGGGTCCTGGTCGCCCCACGAGACTCCACAGTCGGACCCAGGCGAAGCCAGGAACCGCCCCGGATTCCCGCCCCCACCTCGGTCCCAGCCGCAACCGCTGCAGCGGCCGCCAGGGGGTCGGGCACACGACGCCCAGAATCTGGGCCCGAGGCCCTGGGCACGTCCCATCAAGGCGTGGCTTCCGAGGAATGTTCCAGAAAAACAGGCCTGAGACCCAGCAGCTTTGGGTCGCCGCCCCCAGGCCGACTCCTCCATCCGGGGCTGAGACGTGAGCGGCGCCGCAGAGGCGTCGCCAGGGTGCGGGGCTGCGGGCGCCCAGGGTCCCGGCCCCGTCCCGCCGCGAACCGGACCCCTGGGACCCCGAGACCCGAAAGTCACCCCTGGCGGTCGGGGCCGCACTTGCCGCCCGCGGGCCCTGCGCTCCGCGTCCCGGCCGCCAGGGGGAGGCCCGGGGTCCGCGCCTGGATGGTGCCTGACGTCCTCACAGACGGAAGTGAGGACGAGGGCCCGCGACGGCAGCGGGGACCCCGAGTCGGCCCTCCGCGTCCCGCACCGACCGCGGAGCCACTGTCGCTGCCCTGGCGTCTGCCCCGAGGGTGCCGGGCGGGGACCGGTCCCAGCTCCGGGACTGGCGCGGAGCCCGGCAACGCCCGTCGGGTCCCCGGCCTCGCCCGCCCGGGACCGGAGTCCAGGGGAGAAGACGGGGACAGGACATGGAGAGGGGCCGGGGACACAGGGACCGGGGATATGTGACACCCTTTCCCCGCGGGCGTGTGGAGCCCGCAAGTGAGCAGAAACGCGGGACTCGTTTGTTCTTTGCGCAGGCGTGCTCATGTGGCGCCATCAGCTCCACGGGGGCGGGGACGCCCAGGCGCGCCGTGACGCCTCCCCGCCCCGCCCGGCCGCCCAGCCCACTCCCGTCCCGCCCGGCCTGTGTGTAAGAGCGCTGCCGCGACGTGAGCCCCAGGCCGCCGACTCCCAGAGCGCGACCCTCCAAGGCCCTCGCTGACAGAGACGGTCCTGAGCACCTGCGGGTTCAAATCCCGCCTGGGCAACGCATTCGCTGTGTGGCCCCGAGTCACCGTCTTCGCCTCCCCGAACCTCACGTTTCTCATCTATTGGAAAGGGACACGGACACAGGAGCGCCACAGGCTTGAGCTTTATTTGCCACGAGCGCGGGCCGCCCGCGTCCCTCAGAAGATCTTCAGCGACTCCAGCTGCACGTCCCCGCCCACCTCCACCAGGCGCACGCGCGCCGGCGGCATCCGGTGGCGGAAGTGGTGGAACTGCGCGTCCCCGACCACGGCCTGCGGGCGAGGGCGGAGTCAGGGCTCGGACCTGCGCTGCCTGGCGCGGGGAAGCCACCCACCGCCCTGGGCCTCAGTTTCCCCAGTGGGAAAACGGGCTGTTGTTAATTAGGACGTCGTGTCGCGAATTCTCGCGAGTTCACTGCTGGCCACCGTAAACACGTGCTTTGTCAGTGCTGCGGTGGCCGCTAGGATCGCTGGGTTGTCACTCTCGCCACAGGAGCGCGGCCGCACGGACCTAAGTCGCTTAAGGCCTGGGCAGTGGCCGCCCTGCGCCAGCCTTCCGCCCGCACCGCCACCCGGGGCGCGGCTCCCGCTCGCCTCCTCCGGGTGCGCGGGCGCGGGCGACAGGGCGAGGGGACAGCCCCGCCCGCCCCGGCCACGCCCCCCTCCCGCCGCGCCCCGCCCTGCGTCCCGCGCCCTCTGCTGCTGGCCCGGGCTGGGCGCGCGGCGCCCTGGGGCAGGGACGCACCTTGAAGCCGTCGTCCGTGGCGATGAGCAGCACCTCGAAGGGCTGCCCGCGCTGGAAGGGGATGCCCGGGCCGCGCTCCTCCCGGCCCCAGGCGCCCTGCTCCAGGCTGTTGAAGACGACGGCGGACTCGTCCAGCCGCGGGTTGAAGTGCAGGGCCGCGTCCGCGCCCTGCTCCTCGCTGCACAGCAGGTTCACGTGGAACCTGGAAGCGCGGGCGGTGGCGTCGCGGCTCAGGAACCACCCAGACCCTTGGACCGGGCCTCCCCATTGCCAGGGGACCCGCTGATGGGCAGGGACCCGAAGACGCCACGCACCGTAGAGGGAAGCATTTTGCACCAATGGCCAGGGTGCCCGGGGTTCCAGGGAACCCTCAGCTCCCAGAGGATGGGGGACAATAGCGGGGACCCCAGTATTTTCGGGAGACCCTCTCATTTCAGATGGCACTAAGGCCCCCGGAGAGTATTGAGTGGCAAGGCGCCCCAGTGTCTGGGGTGTCTCAGGACTCGGGCACATTTCCACAGTGCCGGGGACTCAGGGAGGTCACAGGACTCTATGTAGGAACCGGGCATGCCCTGGACCCCATATTCTTAGGGAGTCGTGGGGGCCTGAGGCCCATGGGCGTCGACAGCTAAGCGGATCCATCGGGCTCAGAGGGTCAGGATTGGCCTGGGGATGGCAGGACTCTGGTGGCAGAGATGGCCCCAAGGCCCCCATCTCTGGCTGCAGGAACCGGGGTGAGCTCAGTGTGGATCCGCCCCCCTTAGCCCTGGGGCCTGGGTCTCACCTGCCAGCCTTGTCAGGGACGAAGCCTCGCAGTCTGAGCACGGTGCCTGGGCGGAGGCCCTCGGGCAGTGAGGTCCTGTTCTGCAAGAGCGGGGTGTGGGGACATCGTGAACCAGGGGGACAGGGACACGGAAGGCGGGTCACGCTGGGTGGAACAGACCAGGACCGACACCAGCAGAAAACAGTGGAAGAGACGAGATCACAGGAAGGAGGGAGAGAGGGAGACAGACAGGGAAAGAGATGGGGAGAGCAGGAGAAAAAAAAGAAAATGTTGAGAGACCAAGAGGAAGCCACCAAGTGGGAGATGGGGACCAGCGGGATGTGGCGGGTCACCCCAGACACCTCAGCCCAGCACAACCCACAGCTCACCCCCGTGCCCACTGTCTCCGTTGCCATGGCAGCCCGCTGCCAGGCCCCAGCCCCCGCCCACGTGGCCCAGCCTGGGCCCTGCGGCACCCAGGAGCTTACCGCCATGGCTGGGACCGGGACCGGCAGCAGTGGTGGTGGTGAGACTGCGGGACCTTAATAAGGCAGACGGGACGGATGACTCACCGCCCCTCCCACCGCCACCCACACCTGGCACGGACCCTGGCCCCGGGCAAGGCTGGCGAGGCTGCTGCGGCTCCCTCTTCCTGGGGCCCTGCCCCACTCCCTGAGGGTCCCAGGGGCCCTGCCCTCTCCTGTGAGCCCCCAGTGACAGGGACAGTTCACAGCAATCATGATCACAGCACACGAGGGAAGGTGGGTGTGCTCCGCCAGCCTGGGGCAGAGTTAGCTCTTCTGCTCGCCTGGCACAGAGACACGCCGCGTCCTGAAGGCCCAGCTGGGGCTGCGACTCCGGACCCTCCCGCCTGGGGCTGAGGGTGTCTCCGCGCCAGTCCCGGCCTGGGACCTGTGCTAGGGCCATCGCCAAGCCCCACAGTGGGGACAGGGCAGCTCCAGAGGGCAGGGCTGCTGCTCCGCTGGTCACCGCTGCATCCCAACTCTGGGTGTGCCGGGCTCGTGGCAGGGCCTCAGTAGACAGGGCTGAAAGGCAGCGACAGACCTTGACAATGGGCCCTTTCTCAAGGTCCAGGCTGCCTAGGACATGCGGGAAATCCCTGAGCGCTGCCCGCAGTTCCACAAGGGAGGAGCGGCGACCACCGCAGCCTCCAGAGGGGGAAACTGCGGCCTGAAAGGGGAAGCGATTTGCTCAGAGGGACAAGCTGTGCGGAACCCTGTGCATCTCTGGCTTTGTTCCTCTCTAGAAGCTTCTCTCCTGTTCTCTGTGTCTTGGGAATCTCAGTGTCTTCCCCACCCCCCACCCCAGCCCGCCATGTTTTCCTGGCCATCTCTCTCCTTTAAGTCTCTTTGTCCTCCTCCCAACACTGCCTCTATCGTCCCAGCATGTTTGCAGGTCTGTAGGTCGGGGTGAAGGGGACTCTGGGGTTGGGTGTCCTAGGACCTCATCACCACCCAGACCCAAATAGAACAGAGTGTAGATCCTCCCTGTGGCTCCTTACTGCCCCCTTGGGCCCAAGGCTCTGGAAGAGTCTTGGGTTGGGGGAAGGGGGACGGGGCTGAAAGACATTTCTGGAAGGCAGGGATGGTGTGGGAGCTGAGCAGCCTCCTGGACCTTTGCCAGCACCACCCTCACTGCCACACCCAGCTGTACCCAGCCGGTGGCAGGGAGGCCAGGGCCCGTGCAGGCTGGCCATGGAAAGTCTGAGTGGAGGTGACCAGACTCAGACCCTCCTCCTCCCCCTCCCCAGTGCCGGGCCTGCCATGCTCTCTCGCTCTGCCACACGCCCCTGCCCCGGAGCTGGGGTCCACTGCGGGGACCTAGAGAGGGAGGCTGGGCAGCTGCCTTTGGTGGGGACTGGGAACAGCCCCATTTTGCAGAGGACAAAACCGAGGCTTAGACTGGGGCAGCTCTGAGCCCAGGCCACACTGCAGGGAAGGCCAGGCCCTGGGCTCCAGCTGGGCTCTCTGTGCCAAGGGCCCCTCTCAGGCACAGAGAGAGGACAGCAGGGCCACATACAGGGTGTGACCCGGCAGCCCAGAGCTGTCGGTTCCCGGGAACTGCCCCTCCATCCTCCTGACTCTCTCGTCCGTCACCAAGAACACGCTCCGTACAGTTCCGCGTGCCTCCTCTGTACCTTGCTACTGTGTCTCACTGACACACGTTCATGCTCGTCTCTCAGTGTGGATGTGACTTCACAGGCCCTCCCGCTGCCAGTCCCAGCCTGCCGGTGGCCACGGGCCAGGACTCTGCCTTCGCTCTGTTATCAGCCCGGACGCCTGGGCCTTCCCATGACTGCCCTGGTGGCTTCTTATTCATTCCTGTTGATCATCTTTCTTATCAGTTCTGAAATGATATTTCTGTAAGCCTTTTATCAGTTCTAAATGATTAGCATATTTATTTCCCAATTGTGTTTTTAGCCAGGTGTACTCCCATAAAAAAAAAAAAAGTCCCAATTTAAATGAATTGTTGGTTCAGTTTCGAGAAATGCAGAGACCTGGGTCACCCGTCCTCCATCCATTCTCCTGGTGCCCCAGGAACAGCGTCCCCTCCTCCTGCCCCAGGAAGACGCTGTCACGCCTGAGTGTTCAGTAGCCACCAAGGTTTGGTTGCTCTGAAAATGAAAAGGGTGGGGGCAGACTCGAGTCTGGACGGCGAAGGTTTTGGAAAGAGCTGCAGTGAAAAGGAGGCGAAAGTGGCACAACAAGCGTGGGTGGAGGATTTAAACCGCCGCTCTGCCAGGCGAGCAGGCTCACGCCTGAAGCCTAGCATGCTGGAGCCGAAGGGCGGGCGATGGCAAGTTAGGAGTTCGAAACCAGCCTGAGCAAGAGTGAGACCCGTCTCTATTATAAATAGAGAAAAGAAGTGACCACGAAAAGTATAGAAAAAATAGCAGGCATGCGGGGCATGCCGTGTAGCCCAGCTACTCGGGAGGCTGAGCAGAAAGATTGCTGGAGCCCAGGAGTTGAGGGGCTGTGAGCGTAGGTGATGCCACGGCACTCAAGCCTTGAAACAAAGTGAGATTCTGTCTCAAAATAAATAAAAATATAACCTCAGGCTCCATCAGTGTCATTTTGTTGGTGACATTTTGCTTAGTGAAGGTAATTCAGGGACCACTTTGTTGTCACAAATTAACATTGCAATGAGGAAAAGAGCATATTTAAAAATCTGAGGTTTTTCTTAAGCTTTATATGTCCCTTTGAAATCTCAGTGTAATTAGAACAATCCAATCCGTCCTAAGGAGAGATGCTATCTGTTGCATTCAGTTCTATTTATAAACTTAGAACTTAATTAGCTCTTTTATATACATATTTAAGCTGTATATATAATTTTATAGATTATTCATTTTTTTTTTTTTTTTTGAGAACCAGAGTCTCGCTTTCTTGCCTAGGCTAAGAGTGTAGTGTCCGTGGCGTCGCCTGCTGCACAGCAACACTCAAACTCCTGGGCTCAAGCGCGATCCTCCTGCCTCAGCCTCCCGAGTAGCTGGGACTACAGGCATGCGCCACCATGCCCGGCTGATTTTTAATTTATATATTAGTTGGCCATTAATTTCTTTATTTTTATGTAGAGACGGGGTTCTCGCTCAGGCTGGGTTTTGAACTCCTGACCTTGAGCAATCCGCCGCCTCCGGCCCCTTCCCCCCCCCCCCCCCCCAAAAAAGAGTGCTAGGATTACAGGCGTGAGCCACAGATATTCATTTTTATCTTTATCTATTGTTTATAAGAGTCCTGTAAACTCTTCTAAGTAATAAGGTGATTCTTTGTGGCCGGCCGGCTGGCAACCCCTTCCTAAGTAATGTGGGACTTTAGGCACAGTCACTTAACTCCTCTGAAGTTTGTTTTCCTATTCGGTAAAATGGGCCCAACCGGTGCGTGGGCTCACGCTGCTGTATTCCCAGTTCTCTGAGAGGCCTACGGTGGGCGGATCATTTGAGCTCAGATTCGAGACCAGCCTGAGCAAGAGCCGAGACCCCCTCTCTACCAAAATAGAAAGAATTAATTGGGGCCAGGAGCGGTTGCTCACGCCTGTAATCCAGCTCTCTGGAGGCTGGGGCGGCGGATTGCTCGAGGTCAGGAGGTCAAAACCAGCCTGAGCAAGACGAGACGCCGTCTCTACTATAAATAGAAAGCGAAATAATTGGCCAACTAATA